TCCCTCCTCATGTCCATCCATTGGATTCCCTGACTTCCTTCAAGCCCCACTGAAGTCCCATCTCTTATGAGAATTCTTTGCCAACCCCCTTTTTTTTTGAATAAACATTTACTGATGTTAATTAAATAGTAATAAGAGCAGAAATATCAGTCAGCATGTGACTTAGACATAATCCACATATTCCATTGGCTTCCCAATCATGGCTTCAATCTGGTAATCATAAATTTATTTTCCATTAAGGCTAGGGTTGTACACCATTGCATCAAGTCTTTCCCTTTCACCTTCATGTGTTATGTTCATCTCTGATCTCATACTCACAGCCATACTTTCTAAGCAAGAGCCATGAGTTTATTTTATAGGTGCATTCCCAGCTTATAGCATCCCTTTCACATCAGATAAATGTATGTGCTCTTGAGATATATAGGATCCTAGAATTTAGAGTCAGTGGGCAACTCCTCTAAACTCTAGTGCTTTCCCTCCTGTAATTATTTCCTCTTTATATTATATATAGCTTGTCTGCACATGTTTGTCTCCCCCGTTAAACTGTGAGCTACTTGAGGGGACTGTCTTTTGCTTCTTTTTGTATCCCCAGCTCTTAGTATAGTGCCTGGCACGTTGGAGTCACTTAAAATATTTTCTGACTGACAGCTGGAAATGCTACTCTAGATAGGAGGAAGAATAAATCTGGATAGACAGAGCCAAGAATCATCAGCACAGAGATAACTGAATTCATGGGAAGTGATGAAATCACCATGTAAAACAGTAGAGAGGGCAAAGACTTCCCTGTGGGCACAAAGTGTGATTTGCCCTGATCTTAGCATCACTCTTCCCACCCTCATCAGAAATCAAAGCTTTCAGAGCTGAAAGGGATCTTCAAGGACATTTAGTTCAGTGGCTCACATTTTATAAGTAAACTAAGGTCCATCAAGGTTAAATAACCTAAGGAAGAGCTACTGACTAGCTGTGTTGTAAACAGCAGAGCCTGGATTTGAACACAAGTTTTCTGACCCCAAGTTGTGAGCTCTCTCTCCACTACACTACAATCAATTTGGATTCTAGATTTTAGAGCTCAAGAGATTTAAGTTTCTAAGAAGTCACAAGTCATGTACCAGGGAACATGAAAGTGACAGCACAAAATGAAAGGGCCCTTACATCAAGTGAAATCCCCACATATTAGAGTGACTGAGGTGCAGAAGGAAAGTCACTTGCTCAGAGGCACACAACAGGTGAGAGGCTTAACAAATCTAGAAACCGGTTTCCCTGAAATCATGCTCTCCAAGCATTGGTCACCCAACTAGAAATATAAGCATTAATTGCTACTTTCTGCCAGGCACTGTGCTAAGCACTGGGGATACAAATACAAGCAAAAAAAAGTCTCTGCCCTCAAGACACTTACATTGTAATGGGGATAAAACAACACATAAAAGGACTGTTAAACTGTTTTCTGAAATATCCTCTTTGAAAACAAACTCAATCTTATTAGGAAACCCAAGAGATTTATTTAGCACCTACTGTGTGCAAGCCTCCACCAGGATCTAGCGATAACACAGTCTCTGCCTTTTCAGAGCTTAGTCTCTGAAAAAATCAACATATGGAGACGCAGCATTCTAAAAATAGCTACATATCTCATAAGATTGTTCACAGGAAAGGGATTTATAACTCTTAATACTTTCTACGTTCTGCACCTGTGTAACCTTCTGTTATAGTTATGCATGCCCTATCACATCATGAGGCACATCTGAGCTCTGGCATCTCCCCAGCACTCAAATTTGTTGAATTGCACTTCTCCTCTCCAGTCCATGCAATCTAACTCAACTGGAGGCGTTTACTTTCTAAGCTTCCCAAAAGTCTCAAGTCATTTGAAAGTCAGTGTAGCAAGGCCATTCACGGTCACTTCCTGTTCCCTTGATTAAAAAGTTGCCCTCAATCAACAAGCATTTAGCAAGTATTTACAATGTGTCACGCAGTGATGAGATCAAGAAACATTAAATAATTACTACCCTCAAAGAGTTTACGTTCTGTAGCAAGGGTTCTTAATCTGCAGTCTGTGAACACAAAAACATTTTGAAAACTATTTCTACTGAATTCTTTTCTTTTGTAATCGTATTTTATGCTTTTAGAAATGTCATTTGGAGGAGTCCAGAGGCATCACCTCCAAAGGGGTCCAGGACATACAAGTTTAAGAAGTCTTATTGTATAGAATCAGGAGAAAGAATGGCTGTAAGAAGCTCTCTAAAGGGTGGGGCATCAGAGAATATCACCTTCTTTGGGCCTCAGTTTCCTCATATGAAATGTTAGGGGCTGAACTAGATAACCATTTCCCAGTTCTCATAGTTTGAGTCTTTATGTCTCTTTACTAGGAAATACTACAAGATGCTCTATAGAAATCCTACCTTCAAAATAGCTGTCGTGGTAATACAACTGTACTATAAGAAATGATGAAGGGGATTGGTTTCAGAGAAGCCTGGGAAAGCTTGCATGAATTCATGCACAGTGAAGTGAACAGAACCAGGAAACAATTTTTACAATAACGACGACGTTATACAGAGAAACGATCTGAAAGACTCAGGAACTTTGATCAACACAATGAGCAACCACAATTCTAGAGAACTCCTGATAAATCCATGCTACTCACCTAAAGACAGATAATTTTCAGAGCGCAGATTGTTGGATATTTTTGTTTTTTGACATAGCTAATGTGGAAATTTGTCTTGCCTGACTTCATGTTTGTAACACTTTTGTTTTTCTTGCTAAGTTGAGAGGGAGAGGGAAGAGAAAGCAGATCTTCATTAGAAAAAAAAAACTATTCAAAAACACAAAATATTTGTCACAAATCAGTATTTAGAACCTCTTCTTCCTCCTCCTGCCTGGTGTATCTGCTCATTAGTATCAGTTTTCCTATTTGCAAAATGAAGGGATTGGAGCAGATGACCCCTAAGGTCACTTCCAGCTCTAAATCTATGACCTTATAAGGAAGACAGTGAGAAAGAAGCACAGAATTTGAGTTGAAAGGAACATCTAGCAGCCAATTAATTCAACCCAGGCCTTAAAAAGAATTTCCAATATAACATACCCAACTTGAAGGCCTTTGACCAAAAGGCTACCTTTTAAGGAAAGGCATTTTTCACCTTTAGTTCTAATAAGTAGATTTGTCCTAATATTAAGCCTAAATTTTGCCCTGCAACTTCCACCTGGTTCTGCCTGAGGGGCAAACCAAACCAATCAAAACCTTTCTCTTCCACATTGACATCTCTTCAGATACTCGCAGAGACTGATCATAACCCTCCCTAATCTTCTCTCACTGAAGCTAAGCATTCCCACTTTTTCCAACCAATCCTCATACTGCACTGATTTGGAATTAAAACAGGTTTACTGACGTGTTTTGACTAACACTGGATCAAACTCTAATTGACTTAACAGCTTGGAACAAAGATTGTTGGGGGAGGCTGAAGCCATATAAGCTTAGAAAACCTTGAGTCACGGAATTTCAAACTCACCAAACTGATAAAATGCAGAAACTTAAGTTTCACAGACTTAAAGTCCCAAAGTTAAGGAATCTTCAAGCAGGAATACAGTCTTTTTCATCACAGTTTTACTTATATTGTAAATACTTGGAAGGGTAATGGGGAAAAGAGCATTTCTGGAATGAAAGTCTCTGAATTCGGAGTCAGAGAATCCTCTAGCTGGAAACTCCTAAAGAATGTGAAAGAAGTGAGGGGAACTCCAAAGTGTGTGGCATAATCCAATGGTGAAGGATGCTGGGAAGGATCAACTACAGAATGGATGTGTTCCGGGATTGGCCCACTAAAACTCGCTTTCATCCAGCACTTTCAACTGTCTACAATTGGGGGGTGTTTTACATTGGAAAGCCCCTGACTATATAATGAAGTCCATGAAAACACTGGATCTGTTTTATATTCCCTGTTGCTAGCATCCATCTATTCTGTAAAGCAAGAGACTTCTTTCTAAATTGGCTGAGTCAGTTTTTTATGTCACAAATGTTCTGATTTAAGATACCTCTGTGAAAGTTTCCCTCTGCTGCCTTGACATGTGAAGGGTTCTAGAGTCCTTGGATGGTCCTCCTATGCCTGGAAGATTCTACCAAGTATGAAAGGGCTCACTATTTTCAAGGTGGTCCACATACGATCCACGAAATCCATGAAACAGATAATCTACCCACGAGGTATTTAAAGCCTTAAAAAAGGAAGAATTTTAGAATGTTGGACAGAGATGTTGTATATCAGAAGCATAAGAACATATGGATGGACACTGATCTGATGACAGCATTACTGTAGGGGATACCAATATCAATTAGAGCACAGATTCAGAAGTCCTGAAGTGAGCATGGCCAATGAAGAAGTGGGGCAGGTGAACTCATGTAAAGGATTTCATCAGAGAACCTTCTGACCAAAGCAAAGGCTAGCCATTAGTTATGCTTCATAAGTATTTACACAATGTTAAGACATATGGAGCGAATGGAACATCTGTGGAGAATTTGTGAGAGGGCATGTATAAGTTATACATAGAATTGGGTGGAAATATGTACCACTGCAGAAAGTATTCCCATCAATAAGGTTACATAGATCCATGCTGGTCTTCTATGTGGCAACAAAAAACCAAAATTTTTAGTGACCTTTAAATAAGAACCATTTTGACCTAAAAAACACAAAAACAAAGTAGCTGTTTTCTGCACAGTTCACAACAGTACTGGGGGGGGGGGAATGAATAACTCACTGAATAACTCAGTGAATAACTAATGTATAAGATATTCTCTCACTGGCAACCGAAGATGTTCTAAGGAACTTTTAGCTCTGACAAGTAATGAATGCCTATGAAGGAATGTTTTTAAAAAATAGCACTTTTTGGTATTCAAGTCGAGAAAGCTTTTGCTTTCTTTAAATCATGGCTGTAATTCAATAAATGAATTTAGGATGACTCTTGCTCCATCCTCTGTACCCACCCTGCTTCCCAACCTCCAAATAAGATGGGCAGCACAGCAGTCACCTTGTCATAACAGATTCTCTTTAATTCTAGCACCCAGAGCTCTACAAAGGCATATACTTTATCAACTTTGTGAGGCTGTTGTACACGTTCGGTAGAGCGGTGATTGTGCAATACCACCACTTAGCATCTCAAAATCAGGGAGCATAGTCTTGAATTGTTTAAACACAATCCACAAAACTTAAAAAAAAAATCAGAAGCCATCCACAGTTAAACAAAGAGTCAGTTAAGAGTTGTACAGTTTAATACTTCATGAAAATGGTCAGTCTCCAGTAAGGGCTACCGAAAGTGATTTTGAGATCCACATCCTGGGAGTTGTACCTGTGACATGATCTTGGGCAGGGATGTGACTGGCCAAAAGTGGGCCCTGCAAAAGCCCAAAAAATAAAGAGAAGTTTTACCACAGTTTCTGCAGCTTCCACATTTGCTTTTGTGTGTCAGTTAGAAGTGAACTGTGAGAATTAAATACTCATCTTTACATATACACAAGTTATGCTGTGAAAGCATATTGGCTTACAAACATATAAAAATACTTGTTAACTAGTTTGATAAGAAAATAATGTATAAAAGTATATAGCAAAAACATTAGTCATCTCTGACCCTGGAAAGATCAATTCCATTTTTTTTATATTACATCAAAAAAAAAAACCACTACAGTTTGTTTTCTTGAATCCCTTATCCAGAAATACTCAAAAAGGAAGACAGACACGAATGATTGCTTGACCCATTCCCCCCTCAAATAAATGGCTGAGAAAGACTCCCTAAGAAACTGAAATGCTTATGTCCAGAACGAGCCCAGGTATTTGGCCACAGAGCACACCACCATCATTAGCCAGGTAGCAACAACAATGGTAGGAGTAATAACAGCCCTACAGCTGTTCTGGACACACAGGAAAAAGTACAGTAGATGGCTGGGTGTTTCTGGCCACTGGAAACCAGAAGGTACAGTGATCCATGAGGTCCAAAACACCTTGTTTTTGTTAACTCATTTCAGTGGGTTTAAGGCTAACTGAAGTTGAAATCAAATTTTATTCTCTTGGGCAAAAAAAGCTAATTCACATTTTCTCCCAAAACAAAAACAAACAAAAACCCACAACAAAAACTCCCTAGGTTTTGATTTAGGATGACGGTAGGTAATATGATCTCATTAAAATTAATCATTTTGCATACAATGATTTCACCTTGGAAAACAACTGGGGACTCAAGGCTGACTCATCCCCACTATGAGTGTAAGCCCTTAAAGAATCATATTAATTGTGTGTGTATGTGTGGGTGTGTGTCTGTGTCTGTATGTGTACACACATATAGATGTCTAGCTTAAAAAAAAAGTAATTGGATGGTCTTAAAGAAGCAGCCTTAGTGTTTTCTTTAAGTCTGTCCTGACATGACTGACAAAATCATCAGCATCATCACCATCATCTTCCAGGCCAGGATTTAGCCAGCTTCTTGGACTAAGGCTAACATGGTGGCCATTCCAAGGACATGCTTGCATAAGGCTAAAGAGGTACCCAACAGGATGTAAACTGGAGGGAAGAAAGGAGCAGTTGAGGGCTTTTTCTGGCAGTCGGCAGCTAAGATTCATGGGATTCTTAAAAAATGACACAATGGCAGCCTTTCTTGTCTTTCTCTTTCCTTGCTGGTTCTGGGGAAGGAGGACATTCTTGCTCTTGAAATTTCCTGTAAGATAAAAAAAAAAGTTGCTGGTTTTTTTTTTTAATTGAGGGTTTTCAAATAAAAACAGGAAAGAAAGGGACCTTTTATACACTGGACACCAGAAACTTTGACACTGGCGAACCAGAGATGCATAACCACCAGAGAGTACAAGAGACCTAAGTACAACACTAGCTTAAAAGATCATCTGAGAAATAACCAAGCTGCACTGGGGTGAGGGGCAGGAGGTGTTAAGAAAAATTAACTCAGCCTCATCAAAAAGACTATCTTCATACTTCTAGAGAGACTCACAGAGGTCAGCTTCTGAGGTAGGTAAGATTAAGTAGGTAAGGCAGCAGAGAACTGGTGTATTCTAGTTGGAAATCACTGCAGAGATCATTCAGACCAACCTCTGTGGTATGTCTAGACCAGTACCCAGGTCTTCTGTAACCTCTATGTGACTATGGGTTATAAGATGACAGTAAATTTAAAATGGCTGAAAGTCTTCTAACAAAGGAGTGAAAATTAAGTAAGCAAAATGTATTATTTCTTTCCAAATATAAGGATTGACAGAGACCTCAGGTGTTTAGGGGAACTGAAAGTTGAGATATAAAGTCATTCTCAAATCTTTAACAATTTCCCCATGTCTCACCCAACCCAATTCCATCAAAATTCCCACATATATATATATTAACAGATCCTCTTTTAATATATTCCTTTTAAAAGAAAGCAGATTAACAAAAGAAAAAAATACATTAGCAACTATTGCCATTTCTTGAAGCCCTGCAATCTTCACTAGCTTGATTCTAGTACTTTCTGAGATGGTATATACAGGACTTATCATTTTATCTACTGGATAAATGGAGAGATACATCTCTTTACACTGTGAACCATATATAGATCCAGTATGTCAGACCCTGAGAAGAATAACATTAAAGCAAAAATTTCTTTGATTTCGGGTTGATTTGCAATCATGCCCACCCAACAAATTCCCAGGGATTGACTACATCACTTTTCCATTATACCTGGGAGCCAAGAGACTTGGCTTCTAACTGGCTCATCTCATAATCAGCATCCTTGATCTAAGAACCAACTATTTCTCCTCTGGGGGCCTTAGTTTCTTCATCTATAAAATGTGACCGGAATTAAATGATCTTAAAGGTTTTTTCCATGCCTAACATACTATGTTTCTCTGGGTTCTAGTCATTCCCTATAATCTAAAGCCTATCCTATATGATTATAGGAAATATTAAAAAAGACGAATCTAAATTTTGCCTATCAGGAATATTTAATGCTCAACAAAAGGATGCTGAGTACAAACTACTCTTGCTTTTTTTTTGGTGACAAGTACAAAAGAAACTTCATCTTTTCAACTAAAAAAAATACATAAAACAGAAATATGAATCATATAGTAAAGCCCTATGAGAAGGCACTGGACTGACCTGATAACCCGGACAAGTTCATGGAAAGCCTGGTCTACATTCATTCTGATTTTTGCAGATGCCTCCATGTATGTCACCTTGAGCTGTCGTGCAAGTTGCTGTCCTTCTTCTTGTGTTACCTGAAATGAGGAGCGACCTTCAGAGGGATGTTGGAGGAAAAGTACAAACTTGAGTTCTGCTTTATTTCACCCCCATAGATTGTGGGCTGTTATGCACAAGTCAGAGGAGACAGCAACGCTCAGATCCATCTCACAACTGGATGGATTTAAATGGACTTAAAATCCATTCCTAGAGAGGAAATGACCCATTTTTTATTACAAGAGGGAAGGAAAAGTCTAGGTGGGCTGATGTTTTCACTGATAAGGAGAATACCAAATTACAGAATTTAGTACAAATTACAGTAATCACAGAATTTAGAGCTGAATTCAACTTTAGAAACCATCTACTCTAATCTAACCCTCTCATTTCACAAATAAGGAGAATGAAGCCCAAATAACGTAGAATGGCTCAGGTTAGCAATTACAGCACCACTGTTGCTCATATTTGTCTGTTAATTGAAGTTCTGAGTTTATAAACCAGGAAATATGAAGATAATCATAGGATCACAGATTTAAAGGATCTCAAAGCTCATCTAGTCCATTCTTATTTTACAGATGAAGAAAATTATGATAATAAAGACAGAGCTAGGATTTTAACCCAGTTCCCCTAGGTTTTAAACATGTCTTTTCTTAAAATACAACTTAAAAACAAAACAAAACAAAAAAAACCTAGGTGCCAAACTATACCCTTATAAGACATGAAAAGAAGAATATATCAGTAAAAAAGTAATAGTTCTCCATCCTAATTCCATCAAACTATTTTGTTCCATCCTCAGGGCAAAGGATTTTAAGTCCCAAGTACCATCTTGTCGGGCTTTTGCAGTTTTGTTCCTTTCTCTTTGTGCTTGTGTGAAAGATGGAGAGAAGGAAAAGAGAAGAGTTCAAATCTGACCTTTCTGTAGAAAAGTAGGGGGAAAAAAATACAACTACTTCTGACCCACAGTTCCAGTCGACAAAGCACCTATTAATCCACAGGAGCCAAAAGTTTATCACTAGGTGTTTCAACACTTATTTCTTGCTGGTGTGACTAACCCTCAAGAATATTACCGCTTAGCTATTCTGTTCTGACCAGACACAACTAAAGCCAATGATGAAGTATGGTGAACAAAAAGCACCATCTGTATCAGAAAATGTTGAATGGCATGATGAAACAATTAACTAGTTGGATAGAATGTTTGGAGCTTTCTGGATGTAGCTGAGAATCACATATATTTTTAACCTTAAATCAGAATTTTGATCCTTAGAGGCAGATGGAACTACTTCTATTAATAAACAGAATGATGATCTAGAAAGCAATTTGAAATTACATACAGAAAATAACTTAAAATATTGATACCTTTCATACCGCAAAGGTATCAATGATAACAAGACCCAATCGACACCAAAATATTTACACTAGCACTTTTTGTAATAGTAAAGAATTTTTAATGAAGCAGATGCCCATGCACTAGAGAATGGCTAAACAAGTCATGCCACAAGAATATAATAGAATATTACTGTGCCATAAGAAATGGTGAATATTATGAACCTGGGGCAGAATGGGGCAAACAGAAACCAGGAGAATGATATACTACAATGACTGCAACAATGTAAAAAACAACGATCATAGCAAAGCAATTGAAACTGAATGCAAAATTATAGTGGCCAAACTTGGATCCAAATAAAAAATGAAGAAGTTACCCCCCTCTTCTTCTTTCCAAAAGTAGGGGACTATGGGTATGGGACTCTGTGGATAATGTCAGACTTTTTCTATGTGTTAGCCAGTTTTGCTGAATGGTTTTTTTTCCTTTTATATTCCTTGGTTATACAAGGTGTCCCAAAAGTTTTACAAACTTACAAAAGAAAATCCATTGTATTTTAATTATTTCAAAATTATTTTACATGTACTTAGTTTTCAAAATTTTGAATAATAAGTTTCTTATTATCAGCATGCATTGCATATGCAAACGTTTTTGTATGACATTTTTTCAAACCTATTAGTTAGTAGCTATTAGTAGAGGATCTTGTGTGTCCACCTCAGTCACTTGATCTATTTTCGTTACACTTTTCCTGGTGGGGTTATATCAAAACCTCATTCTTCAGAATGAGGCTTAGGATTTAAAATCCAAGGTTAGGATTCCAAATGCAATAGTTTGGGTTTGTTTTTTTTTTTTAACAAAGTTCAAAAATTGACTAGAGTGATATATAGCAGAAAGCAGTTACATGCTGAATTTTTAATCAGAAATACATCAATATTTAAATAATTAACCTTTTACATGGTTTTTTTTAAAATAAGTTTCTATTTGTTCATCTGAAGTTATTAAAGCCTAAAACTACACTAAGACTTTTGGGACACTATATAAGAGACAGCCCTCTGGGAAAGGGAGCAGAAAGGATATACTGGGAATGTAGGTGATATGAAAACATAAGCTATTCAACAACAATGCCACTGTGAAGAAAACAACAACAACAACAACAACAAAAACCTATTCTGCAAGGCTTAAGACCAACCACACCTTGAGAGGACAGAGGACACTCCACAGCTCCTGACAGAGGTTGAGAGACCGAAATGCCAAAGGAGCTGTAACTTTCAGACACGACCAACAAGGGACCTCTGCTTACATGTCAAAAAGGTTACTTTCTTCTTTGCAATAGGGAATGGAATTTAAGGAGGAGAGACGACTGGGGATGAGAATGCCAAAAAGGGGGGGAAAAAAAAAAGGAAAGATGCCACTGCAGCATTTAAAAGAAAATGCACATTTAGAAAAATGAAGTTCAGAAGAAAAAAGTGACAAGGAGGACAGCTTTGAAAGTAACATGCTGAATTATTTACTTACACAGTTACACACACACACACACACACACCCCTACCCCTAATTGTTTTTTAGGAAAACAAGCTAAATGTAATAAATTTCCATATTCATATACAGTTATCTTTTTATGGGCTACTACATGTGGAAATGGTTTTTTGTTAGGTGAATATATTTTTTAACAACAACAAAAATTAAAAATTTTAAAAATTAAATAGGATGATAAAACCACAATCTCCAAGGGGGGAAGGGGGAGAGAACCCATCAGCAGTGGAATTTAATCCAGATCAAGGGAACTTAAAAATTATCTAGTCCGATCTTTTCCTTTTGTAGAGGAGGAAATTGAGTACCAGAGAAGGAAGGTGACTTACTTAAAGTCACACAGCTGGTAAATGGAAGATTTAGATCTTGTCATTGGTCTTAAGAGTCAAAACACCCTAGTTCAAATTTCAACTCTGACACTTAGTAAACATGTGAGATCCTGGGCAAGTCATCTACCCTTTCTGAGTCTTAGGTTTCTCATCTGCAAAACAGCATACTCAGAGTTCCTCACCACAGGTCTCAGGTTCTCTCTTAGCATTAGGGATTTCCGAGGTTAGTAAAAAGAGCTATGTGAGGGACCTCTACAATCAAAGATTTAAATCTACACACATTATCTTGCTTTGATGGCTCCATGATTTTCTGAGCATGGCTACTCCTTCCACCGATGGATGCAGATTCTAAGCCTTCCTCAAGCTTCTTATTCAGTGTAATTCTTGTTTGTGTATTCCCATAAAAATTCAGTAGACTTTACATCTGCTGTCTCTCCCTCTCCTTACTGCATGGCTACCCTCTCTGCTCATACAAAGCCTCAGTAATGTCTTTTATGACACTTTTTTGTACGAACTGTTATTCTATGGATTGTTTACACCTAACTATGCTTCCTTCCATTGTCCTCTGGGTTATTTGTCAAGTTTAACCATGAACTTATGCTGCTGCATGACAGATAGGAACAGCGCCTCACTGAGAATACTGATACTAAAGAGACCAGCTTTTCCAATGCCAGGCAGTTTGGCATCATTGAAAGCACTGTGTGGCCTTTTCCTCCTCCTCCATTCTGGGCCCAGCTCATTCATTATGCATCTGCAGAACTTGTCCAAGATACACATATGGAAAGCCTAATTCAATGGGCTGCCATCCAAGAGCAGACCATCATCTGGGCAATATGCATTTTTTATTCACTTTGTTTTTCCAGTGTAAATGATTAAACCAATCTTTCACATTACTGCAGATTTCATTGAAGGAAGCTTTGTGGAGCTCCAGGGCTTCATGAAATAAATATTACAACACCTGCAAATAAGAGAATTTGGAGAACTACGGCATCAACAGGAAATTTTAATGCGGGTTTTAAACAGGATGGCTAGGAAGAAGCATGGTCTCTGGGGAAAGTGTGACTCTGGAGCTAGAGGTCCTGATGACTCTGGGGCAAATCACTTGGCTTTGTTAGTCCTCAGTGCCCTCACTGTAACATTTCCTTGTTTTCACAAAGGCTGTCCCTGATGCTTCACAGCAACTACCAGCATAGCCATTTATAGTAGGTAAGAATTAAATAAGTATAGGAATGTCATCCTGGTTCTCTTTTTGTTTATTGTCTGACCTGTTCCATTTTTTTGGAATCCACTCTGAGAGATTTTAAGAAGGCAGGATGCTTCCATACATTCTCATATAAATGCGTATGAAGAACAGCTATTTGTTCTGACTTCACCTTCATCACTTCAAAGGATGTGCTGGGAAGGGGAGCAGCACCGTGTACTGGTTCCTTTATTACTGCCAATGACAGTGAACCAATAAATAGGAAGGACACTGGCAGATTTGTTCCATTTAGCATGTTTGCCGTGCTCCTTTTGATTTTTAGCGATCAATGCTGTTGGGATCATCAAGCTCACATTCATATCATTTTCCTACTAACAACCCCTTGAGGTAGCAGGACCAGTATCACCATCCGATTTTACAGATGAGGAGTGCTGCAAAGTGTAGGTTGGTATCTGAACCCAGGTCCCTCCCTCATCTCTTTTCAAATGTTTTCTACTACACTATGCTGCTTCCTTGGGTAGTTTCAGGGCAAGTTTATCCACCTACGCCAGGGGTTCATAATCTTTTTTTGTATCACAGTCTCCTTTAACAGTCTTCTCAGAATCATGTTTATAATACATAAAATAACAAAGAAATCCAATTATATTGAAAATTATTAAAACCATTTTTTAAAAACTAAACAAGTTGGCAGACCCCAGGTTAATTATCCCTGCTTTACCCTCCTCATGAAGCCTGAGAGGGGAGGTGGCCCAGTGTTGGGATGCACAATGAAACCAACTATTTCATTTCCTTTATTCTCCCTCTCTCCGGTTAGAGAGCCTGCGAATCATCTTTCCATTTTAAATGAATCTTCTGGTTACATCTTTAGTGAGAAAGTCACTATAATAATAATCACAGTAAACACTTATTTACAAAGATTTTCACTATATGTTGCTTAAATGCATAAGTTCCATAAGCTATAGTCCTGAAAGGAGTCAACACACACAAAAATCAGAGAATAACCATTTTTAACAGAACCCACAAAGGCAGAAACTGCAATTAAGTCAATATTGTTGTAGTGGACACAGCACTGGACTCCCAATCAGAGACTACACCTCACTTCTCAGGGCCTCAGTGATCAGAGGAGGTAGGATCATGATTGTAGGGGGAAGAAAAACAAGATGACGGGTAGTATAACTTCTCATGCAGTCAATGTATGCTATAATTTAATGAAATGAATGACAATGAAAAATGACAAATTTTCTAAAAGTCTGTTTTCTTTTTTCTCATTTGATGTGTACATCCTGTATAACATTATCAAACTCAGTATTTTCAAAATGTAAGGTACAAACTCTTTGAATTATACATACTTGAGTTTATCTTCACTCCAACTATATGACTAGGAATAGTAATAGTCATGAAACTTCTTACCTGTCTTTGATGGTCAAGATCTGCTTTATTACCAACTAAAATCATTGGAAACTCATCACGGTCCTTTACTCTGAGAATCTGTCTTTGAAATTTATAGATTTCTTCAAAGCTAAAATCAAAAATACAAACGAAACTGTTGGGTAACTAACCATCAGATGATACATTAAAAAATATCATTCATAGTAATTAATAAATTCCATTGTCATACTCAAATTTATCCTTTATGCTTTAAAAAAAAAACAACAGAAATCCAAATATGATTCAAAAGAGCAGGTTTGGACTTATCTTGTTGGTCTGACATTGTAATACCTATACGTACCTTCCTCTGTCAGTGACTGAAAAAACCAGCAAAAAGCCCTCTCCAGTCCTCATATATTGTTCTCTCATTGCCCCAAACTCTTCTTGACCTGCAGTGTCCAGAACTACACAGAAATAAAACGGAGACATAGCTGTATATGCAACTTTTTAAAGATGACTTCCCCCCCAAGTCCTACCAAAAGCTTCCCAATTAAAAAGGTTATTACAACTAAAAGGATTCCACCAAATCAAGAGTAGTGTATCTGCAGCAGTGGTATGCTGCTAAGTATTTAAAAACCACTTTCCAAAAAGGCACAGCACACTTTTAGATTTAATTTGCTTTAGTATCATCACTTATTTCAGTCTAGACAACCAACAAAACAATAAAGTAAGGCCCAATTTATAGCATTTGTGGATTTCTAAGGTGTGATATTTACAATGAAAATTCAACAATAAATTCTTATAAGCTGGTACAAGCTGGCTCCAGCCCACACCAATATGCAGGCAAAGACAGGAAAAAATTGCTACCAATGAGAATTTTAGGGTCCCATTCTTTCTCAATATTCTGGTCTCAAGAGACCAAGACAAATATGTGCTAATCCTATATGCAGTTTCAGAAATATGAAACAAATTGTCAGATTCATGTTGATTTAGTATATAGTTTCATGGGAAAAAAAATAAAAATGAACAGGTAGATCAGTTGAAGCTAAGTAAACCTTAAATCATACTCTGATGGAAGAACAGATGGATGCTAGCAAATTCCCTGGGAAATTCTGATTTATCATAAAGCTTCCAATATAGACTCTCCATTAAGGGCTCTTCTGGTGCCTCCTTGAATCTGAAAGGTGATGCCACTAGCACTGGGCAACCTCTGGCAGGAATGCTTTCAGTAGAGGCCCAGGGACAGACTTGATATGCTATATAGGTTTCAGGACACTTATTTTTTTGGTTTTTTTGGTTGGTTGGTTTGTTTGTTTGTTTGTTTTGGCAAAACCACCAAACGTCATCTAATTAAGGGTATGGAGAGGTTGAGGTCTATGTCAGTGGAAAGAGTAGCAATATGGATGAAATCAAGGATTTCCTGAACTTCGGACATATCCAAAAATTGCAAGTGCATATAGGAATATATTTCAGGTTTTCTGAAGAACTCCAAGTAAGAAGCAATATAGTAACTAATAAATTATTGTAATACACATAAACAGTGATTTAAGGTCTACAAAGTGCATTCTTCATAACTCCAAACTAAGCAGTACAAGATTTTACAGATAAAAACTGAGGCCCAGACAAGAAGCAACATATTCATGGTCACAATGCCAGTAAGGATTGTTGTCATTCAATCAGCATTTATTAAGTGCCTACTATGTTCCAGGCACTGCTCAAAGCCCTGGGGATACAAAGAACTATAAATGACAGACCCTGGCCTTAAGGAGCTCACAACCTGCAGGGGAACATAACATGTCAGGATGTCATCATAGGTCTCCTGACTTCAAGCACTTCTTTTTTTCACTAAATCAAGATGCTTCTCTATGAAAATAAATCTGACTAAGCTTAACAAGTCACAAAAATACTGGTCCAGTACAGCCTGAGAGCTGGGAATTCTAATCCACTATATAACACATAAAATGAATCCTCTAGCCATATAGAGTTCATTTCAGCTTTTAAGGTTGAGAGCAGTTTTTTAAAGTGTGAGTTATAACCATGCATTCCCCTACTCCATGGGGGTAAAAAACCTCACCTGAATGGCAAAAAGAGCTTTTTTAGAATCTAGAATCAGTAGTACAATTATTATGTTGGTATTGAGCATCATATTACATTTCAGATAGAGATCATGATGTTGAAGCTAGTTAAGACTTGGGGAGGAAGTAGCAAAGCCAAGATAGGGTACAGAAAGGTAGCTATCTTGAAATATTTAACAGGTTATTATATAGGAGAAGCAGATTTATTCTCCTTGGCCCTATAAAGACATATTTCTAGGGGCAGTTAGGTGGTGCAGTAGATAGAAAACCAGCACTGGAGTCAGGAGGACCTGAGTTCAAATCCAGTCTCAGACCCATAATACTTCCTAGCTGTGTGACTCTGGGCAAGTCACTTAACCCCAATTGCCTCACCAAAAAAAAAAAAAAAAAAAGGACATATTTCTGCTCAATTTATTAACAGTTAGAACTATCCAAAAAAGAAACGCATTGCTTTGAGATGTACTGAGTTTCCCATTTTCAAGTAGAAACTGGGTAGATCACCACTAGTCGGTGATGGTTATGATTTGGGCAAGGACTGGACCTCTGAGGTCCTTTCCAACTCTGTAACTGATTCCTTAACCTAAACTATGACAGTTCAGTATTTCAAGAATACCACAAAAATGGACCACAGCCCTTCTATGTTTAAATAAATGGTCTGCATGCCATGGTGGCTGAGTCTCTCTGAATTTAGTTAAGATGGCTCTCAGTCAGAAGACACAGAGTCTGTTGCCAAGTCCTTTCAAGCCTTTCTAGTTTGGCAGGTCATCCTAAAGCTCAGAGTCACTTCCATACCATGAGAAGGAGGTACTGCAAGAAGGCTGTAGATGAGAGAAGCTTTTATATACTTTAAAAAAATAAAAATTGAAATGAAATTACTTACTATCAAGCCGTGCTGCTCTATCATCTATCACACACTGTTTGGTGTATGAATCTTCAATTGTTGGATCATAATCAGTGACAAAATAGGACTGCAAAAAAAATTTATAATTAATTTATTTGTTAGGCACCAGGTACCACTCAAGTACAGCACAATTTTGTTTATCAACCCCTATCCAACATCCCATGTGTCAGAAAATCCATCTGTCTCCTGTTCCTGTGAAAAGAGATTTTTCTATCTTTTCCATTTTGTGAGAATGATTATCACCTTGTGTGTGTGTGTGTGTGTGTGTGTGTGTATATAAAAAGAGAATACCCACTGTTTCAACTTACAGAGCAACATGTTTACCCAGCCTGGGTCCTCATGCCATGCACACTGTGTACATGTGTGTATACACACACACACACACACACACACACACCCCCATCCCAAAGACATCTCAAGGTAAACATGTCCAAAATGAAAGTCATCCTTCCCCTCAAACCTGCCCTTCTTCTTCCCCATTTCTGTTCAAAGCTCTCCCATACATCCTCCCAGTCACTCAGCGTGAGTCTATTTCCATAAAACCTCCTTCACGCCTACCATCCTGCCTCTCACCTGGACTTCCTATCATCTACTCATGTGTCGCCTTCCTTCCATCCTCCACGCAGGTGCCAAATTCACATTCCTAAAACACATCTGACCATTTCATTCTTCCCTCTTCAACCCCCTCAAGCCTTCAGTGGCTCCCAGTGACCACTAGGATAAAAGACAAACTCCTCAGCCTGACAATTAGGGCCTCCTACAATCTAACTTCAACTTTCTTTTCCCACCTTTTATTCCCTCCTCCTTCCAGTCAAACTGGACTACTAGATATTCCTGGAACTGAGAGAAGTTAATACATGAAGGGGCAAACCCATGGAGAAGGGATGAAGAACATGAGTAGAGAAGGTGTTGGTAAGGATAAGGGCCACAAATAGCAAACTCTTAGCCTGGAACAACTGAGGAGAGAACTCTGAGCTAATGTGAATTATGAGCTTTACCCCAGGAACAAATTATGAAGACTGAGGATCTATAAATGGTTTATTACTGTAATCAACTTATAAATGTTAATTTGACATGTTTAATAATATGCATAATGAGTATTGTGTTGTACAACAATTCATCATAAATAAGTGATTTTTGTAAATTATTATCATTAGGGTTACTTTTATACAGTCAATCCAAATTCTTAGCTTTTCTCCTCTTCCTCAGTTCATTCTTAGCACTGATGATAAATACTAACTTCTCCTGATCCCCAATATACATGAGTTAAAAGACAATAGTCTTGAGCTAAACTCAAGTTAAGCTCAATGGAAAGCATAGGGAACACGTGGGAGAAGGCAGAGATTAGGACGGGAACTCTTGGGGAAGCAGGCAGCTGGACTTTCCTGAGGACAGAAGTAGCACAGCCTCTGGCAGCAGAGAGGGCTGGATTTTGTCTCCATCTTCCTAGCTGTCTCAACTTTTCCAGAACTTCTTTCCTTCAATGGAAAACTCCTACTCTCCAGAGTTGTAAGATTCAAGAGCTAATGCATAGGTATGCTTTATAAATCCTAAAGCCCTATCAGTTAGCATTAACATTCATTTTTTTTCCCGGCTACATAATTAGCTATATGACCTAGGGCAAGACCTTCCTTTTTAGAAGCCTCAGGGCCCTCACCTGTAAAATGAGTCAACTGACTAGATAATCTCTAAGATCCTTTCTGAGCTCTGAATCTTAAGAAGAGGCAGTTTTCTAAGGCAGAAATCCAAGCTATCAAGCTATATTTTTAAAAAGCTCAAATCATTAATAATTAGAGAAGTGCAAAATAATGTAACTCTGATGTTCCCCCTCATACCTAGGAGACAGGCAAAGTAGACAAAAAAGGGAAACGAAAAAATGTGTTGGAGGGGCTGAGGGAAAACAGGCACACTTATGCACTGTTCATGGGGCTGATACACTCAAACATATAGCGTCCTCTAATATACCTCATCCAGGTATGAAGGCGAAGAGTTTTCTAAGGCTATGCCAGTTTGGCAGGTGCTACCACGGGCTGAAAAGACATATGGGCCTGGCACTAACAGGTATGTCTGCAATCTGAGTACCAGCTTAGTTAATTCTGGGTAAGCTTATCACAGCTTGGAGGCAGCTATTCAGTTCAGTGGATTGAGCACTGGGACAGGAATTTAAATCCAACCTCAGACACTTATTAGCTGTGTGACCCTGGGCAAGTCACTTAACCTATTTGCCTTAATCCACTGTAGAAGGAAATGGTAAACCACTCCAGTATTGTCAAGAAAACCCCCTGGACAGTATCAGTGTGTTACCTTCCACAAGGTCATGAAGAGTCAGACACAACTAAACAACAACAAAAGCTCATCACAAGAAGGTTAACTACCAAATGATTAATTTTTTTCCATGAAGCTATTAGCTAAAGTATTTAAGTATGTAACTATATATATATATATATATATATATATATATATATATATATATATATATGCATATATATATATAATTACATAGTATATTATTATATTAGTAGCAAACTCAAAACTACGTTCACAGAAGTTAAGGGCAACCTAGTGGGAAAACCTGAATTCTAGTCCTGGTTTCACCTCTTGCTGGTTCTATGACCCAGATCTGCTGACTTATTCCAGGGCTCATTAATAAATAAATAGAAAGTCCCTTGCAATTTTGCCAGGAAAGAGAAATACAGTTTTTCCCAAAGGCTAAAAGAATTGTTGAGCATATACAAAAAGGCGGCACTGCAGTGGGGAGCATGGAGAGAATGTGGGCAGTGCTGCTGCCCTAAGAGCAGGGAAAGAAGGAAAACAGATGCTTCCTGTACAGTGGGAATGCCCTGCTCTCTGGGACAGGAAAATGCTGCAAGAGCCAATGTTCTTTACAGTCTATTTCCATACACAGACAGGGAAATTTAAAACCGAGAAGCCATGTAAAAGCAGTAAAAAGAGTGCTCCACTTGGAATGTGAGGCACTGGGCTCAAATGCCAGGTCTACTGTTTTCTGTAAGCCACTTCCACTCTCTAGACCTCAATTTCTTTATCTGTAAAAGCACAGAAGTGGACAAGACAGTCTCTAAGATACCTGCTAGCTACAAATCCTATGGCTGAGATAAGATTAGGTTTAAGATGAGAGGGATCACTGGTATAGGGTAGATTTATTTCCCTTTAGTAAATCTACCCTGGGAATGCTTATTGGCTCTCTGTTAAGACATTCTCAACTCACCAAGTCGAGAGTTTACCAGGGAAATCCCTTAAGAGAGATGCTAGCTCAGTAGACCGTTGTTCTGGGAGACTTTGCCAATGGGAAGAAGTTGATGTTACTTTCGCATTCCCAGGTATTGAGCAGAATTACTATTCCCCCCACTCGGTCCCACATCTAAGAAGGGAGATGCAGTAATTAGGCATGGCCACAAGATGGTGCAGTGACTACACACTACCTGTCATTTGTGAGAAACTATCTTAGAGATTTGTGTTGAATAAGGAGGTAAAGGTGGAAAGGCCCTCTCAAAGGTCATTTAGCCCAATCCTGTCATTTTAGAGACGATGCTTAGCGGGGCTAGGCTCTGTGACTTGGTCTACACCACAGGTAGTAAGCAGTAGGGCCAACACTTCTCACTCCAAGTCCCCTTTACCATGTTGCCCAAAACTGAAGGACAGGGTCAGAATGAGATGGGGGTGGCAAAGATGCTATGTGAGGTAGGAGTCTGTGAACTTTTGAAAAATTATGACAACTATATTTCAATATAATTGGTTTCCTTTGTACTTCCATATATTTTATTTCACACATTTAAAAACATGATTCTGAGGGGGCAGCTAGGTGGCGCAGTGGATAGAGCACTGGCCCTGAAATCAGGAGGACCTAAGTTCAAATCTGCCCTCAGACACATAACACTTACTAGCTGTGTGACCCTGGGAAAGTCACTTAACCCCATCGCCTAGCCCCCCCCAAAAAAAAAACGATTCTGCGAAGGACTCATTGGCTTCAACAGACTGCCAGGAGACCAGGACACAAAAGAACCCCTGGTTGAAGGTATCCCAATACAAGACTTGTAGTTTCCCCTTTCTGAGCTGGATTACAAATCTTAGAGGAAAAACTTCAGCTATGAAGAACTCTGGTACATGACACTGAAAAACCAAAGGAAAACCAAGAAAAGAAAGCAAAGGACCACGATCTCTCTTCAACCCTGAACTCCATCCACTCTTATTCCAACATCCCACTTTCAGGCCAGATGACCTTGAACCCCAGAAACACGTCATAATCTAACAAAATGTTTCCCAAGCCTACTGAATATAATTTAAATCAAATCTGACCACCTAGAAAACACACTTTTGCCACTGATTATATAATCAAGCAGAAATCCCCAAATGATGGTACATTTAACAATTTCTACAATCAAAATGATCTGTGGCTCATTATATCAAACTTACTTATAACTTCTTAATAAACTGTCCCTGAGCTGCAGTTACAATTCATTAGCACTGGAAGGGACTTTGGAGATTACTCAATCTAAACCCCTGATTTTACAGGTAGGGAAACTAAAGCCTCTAGGGTATATAGTAGAATAAGGAGTCTTCCATTTCCAAAAAGAAGAAAAGTTACCAACCCAACATTGTTCGGGCAAGTTGGATGGTACCACTGCTCATAAACTGTCACATTCTGATCATTTTTGTCTTTTAATTTTAGTAACCCTAGGAGAAAATAACCCACAGACCTCCCACCTCATCCACTCCTCAACCACCACCTCAAAACACAGGAACCAGGGTTATAGGATCTCAGAGGCTGGCTGGTTCACAACCCTTTCTCCTCATTACACCATTCTCAATCTATGCGACAAAAAAAAAAGTGGGCATTGTCATACAATTGCATCTTGGAATGAAAGCACAAGTAGAGCCCATAACCATACTTCATTAACAAATTCAAATAAGACAAAAAATATACACCAATATGTACTGTGAAAAAATTGCCAGAGAGATGCTATAGTCATTCATCACAAATCAATGAAGCACTGATGAACAGTAATATTAAGGAGACTCAGAATGACTAGACTGTGGCACAATGGACAG